TGAAAGATGTTACCCTCTGATGTGATAATTCTTTGTAAGTTCAGAAAATAGAACGTACATCTAAGGGTTGGGATTGACTGTCACCTAATGTTCTGCCGCCACTCCTTGTGAGAGTAAGAGCTATTTTTAAAATACCTTTCATACATTTCCTATCCATACTGTATTGATAATGGGGGCAGATCTGACAGCTAGTATAGGGAAAAAATGAAACTAGGAATAAGAATGAAGTTGAGCATCAAAAGAGGTAACTACCTCCTTAGTATCATCTTTGGGCAGATTCTAATCTGTATGTAGCAGAGGGAAGGTCATTAGAACCTCAGTTTTGGATGCCTTAAATTTAGAGGAACTCTCTACACCAGGGGTTCCAAACTCGCAATGACACGTCATCAGGTGATGTATCACAACTTTTTCCCCCTTCACTAAACTGAGGGTGGGAGTGGCAGGCGCATGATGCATCTGGCCCGCGAACTTCGAGTTTGACACCCCTGCTCTATATGAATTCAAAAGAATATTGGGAACAAAAAAAAAAAAAAAAACACCATCAAGGGGAAGTAAAGCTTGCATTCTTCCCATACTTGGAAGAATAATGTCCAAAGAAGGCTATGCAGTAACATTGTTAGATTGCACACAAGAACTCATATGATGTATTTCCTAGGATGTTGTATCTTGGACTAAGGGAACCCTTGCCTAAATCCCTTCTTGGTTATCTCTGACTGGGTGACTATGGGCCACTCAGAATATCTTAGTCTCACAGGCTTATTATGAAGATAACTTAGACAGTACATACATTGCAATCACAGGCAATGATCTCAATGTCTTGATAGCTGAATTATTGATCTACTCATGAAATGTCTAATATAAAAATGCTTCCCTCAGTCTGTATACTGTATACATGACAATAATCTTAATATAGGGTGGGAAAAAGAAACTTAAAACTACATGTGTGACATAATTTTATGTTCAAATTTGAGGGTAAAAAATAAACGACTTTAACGTAGGGCCAGAAAATGTTAGATGTTTCCATTTTAGGTTTTATTTTATGTATTCATTTGTAAGCTTTTATGTTCCCCTCACTTGCTTTTCCACTGATTGCTTGAAATTTTGCTGGAATTAACACTTAGCCACAAGAACTGATCTATTTTCTATATCAATAAACATAGAATACCATACTATATTACTTCTTGCTGCTGCTGCTGCTGCTGTAATATTAGAACTTGGACATGCTACTGAGCAGAAGAAGAAGGAAAGAGTTGAAGGGCAGCCCAGGGGGAAGGCAAGGACACAATCAAATGCAAACTGTAACCATCCCAATAGATCCTCAGCAATGCATAAAAATCAGGATACAGAGAATTATTATATTCTACTCCTTAAAGTGAATGAGTTGCTCTAGATTTTTGACAGGCAGAAAACTGGAATGCTTATGTGTACATAGTCTGTCTAGGTAAATATTTGTCGCACAAAACACTGGCAACTACTAGAATCAAAAGCCTACTGTATATACCACATACACTGTTGTTACAAGTAGAGTTTAAGTCCATATATGGCCAACCCAAGAAGTCCCATTCCTGATACTGTTCCCATAATACCACTATTCCTCTCCGCCTCACCCTATATCTAGCAACTATCTAACTCTACCACCCTAGTTTTGTAGGTGCAGAAGTTCCCTATAGACATTCATGCTGTGCCATGTAGAAAATGTTGCTCTTATGCAAGTAATGGAGGGATGTGAGGAGTTGAGCTTCTTATATGGAGAATTAAAACATGTTTGTTATGCTGTATGTTAAATGGTATATGATAAAATGATTTTGTGATGTAACTTTTGAAATCAATCCACAATATTCTGACTGTCTTTTGGTCTGATTCTAATCAACTATGGCACAGATTTTAAAGTACATAGGCAAGGATTTAAACAGGAAAGCTCTATTTATGTGTATGCAAGTGCTGCAAACTCTCATGTCTTCTAGTCTTTCACCAAGTCATATTGCTCAATAGGTATTAGCAGAAGCTTACCTTAGGAATGTATGGGAAGTGTCATTTATCAGGCTTGGCAACCTTTAGGAAACCCCAGATATGTTACATAGTTTATTTTAAATATGGTTTGTGCTAAAATCTACATTTATTGATTACTGTCATAACATGATTAGAGGCTGCTGAAGTCTTATCATCCAATTTACTTTCCTAAGCTATGTAGGTCATCAAATACACCCAGTCCTTTCTTTTGTCTCAAAGATGCTTTTTTCAAGAGGCAACTGGACTTTCTGGTTTGTTTTTTGTTTGTTTGTTTGTTTGTTTGTTTGTTTTTGAAGATCTTTCACTTCTCATCCAAGAAGCTTCTTCAGCTCTGACTCTGAAGAAGCTTCTTGGATGAGAAGCGAAACGTCTTCAAAGAAAACCCAGAAAGTCCAGTTGCCTCTTGGAAAAAAAGCACCTTTGGGACAACCATGCCCTGGATGACTGAGAATCTTCATAGGCAGTTCTTTCTTTTGCACAATCCTTCATTTTACAGGCAACAGGCTTGATCCTATGGTTTACTATTCAAAATGTAGAAAACAAAGCAAGGCAGATATGCAGTGTTTTTTTCTCTTCTGAGAGGTTTTGTTACATGGTGTTGGCCTACTTTATTGAAATACGGAATAATGAAATAACACAGGACACTGCCTAAGGACCTTATCATACCAATGCATGAAAAAAATATATGAGAGGACGCATCTAGAATCTGTATCATAAAAATCCCAGACTAATCTGAAACTGTGTTATGACACTAAACATTAAGATTTGCTGCCCAAATACACTGGTAGTAGATGAAGAAAAGGAAACATTCCTGTTCCTGAAGGTATCAAAGGAAGCATTTCTCATCATAACATATTCTAGCTCTCTGTTTTTCAAGGGTACAAGGTCTTCCTAATAATGGTTGTATTTCCATGAAATATTATTGCCAAGGAGGCTGGCAATTTCATAACCCTCCTTATACATACATTTACAAGTTATTTTTTTTTAAGAATGGCAACCTTCAAACACTCAGTGGTTTATACCAGTGTCTCTCAACTTCAGTAACTTTAAGATGTGTGGATTTCAGCTTTCAGAATTCCCCAGCCAGCATAGTTGGGAGTTGAAGTCCACACATCTTAAAAGTTGCTGAAAGAGAGAAACAGTGGTTTACACATATAAACCCATTCACAGCACAGCGGTAAAAACAAAAAGCCATAAAAACAGCTTTAATTTCAAATTAAAATGGACCCAATAAGAATTACTGACTTGATGGCACTGTGTTATTTAATTCATTATTGGTTTAATTTAATTCATTAAAAGTACATAAGAAGTCCATTGTAACCAGCTTCTGAAAAACCAGCAGTTTCCATTTCCCCTAGAAGATTTATTCTCCAAAAAGAGGTGGGGAAGGAGGGGTCCAACGGAAGAGTATCTTCACCTCAGCCCACTTCCCCTTCTTTTAAAAGCCAATGTGGTCCCCATTTTATCATCTCAGATGAAAAGCAGTCATTAGGATAGAAGGAACAGGTGATGTTCCTTGCAAAACTCTAGTTGTGATTGACACCGTAAACCAAATGAAGGCACCCCACTTCTTCTGATCTTCTTGAACTATTATTAGAAGCAATGAAAGGTGGCTTGATTTTACAAAATCAGTCAACACGAAGTCCAAAAACATGTTTCAAATTGATTTCATCACTTGGGAAACCTGACAGCAGGATGGAGAGAAGGGCACCCACCAAAGGAACGGCCAGCTAAGCTGCCACTTGGATCATCTCCTAGAAAGGGTGCTGCAAAGAGAGACCTTACCCCTTTCTGGGATACAGGAGCTCCCAAAATACCAGTAATAAATTACTGCAATTGAACTGTGCCCTCCTCCTTCAGAGCAAATTTGCATTTTACAGAATAAATGCCTGAAATGTTTCACAATCCCAAAAAGAAAGAAAAAAAGAGGGGGAGAGAAAGAGAGGTATGGTAAGAAAATCTTTCATGTGTAATGCAGTCTGTACCTTTGAGCCAATCTCGGAAGAATAACTCTCACCTCCTCCACATCAATAGCACCAACACCTTCCTTCCCTCTCTCCCACATACCTGCCTCATTCCTCAGACTAGCTGGCTTATCCTCCTAGCTAGCCTTTGGGTTCCCATCAGCTGGGAGCCTTTCTCATCAGGTCCCAAACTAACAAAGATAATGAAGGGGTCAGAGACCTCCAAATGTGGAGAGAAAAAGAGAAATTGGGGTAGAGGAAGAAGAGACCAAACTCAGACAGAAGGGGAAGGGAAAGGAAAGGGTTGCATTCTCTCCTTCAGCATCTCTTTCTGACTTCTTTGAACAATGAATGTCCCACCGCCCCCTCATTCCTCTCAGAACAATTTGTGCCTGTCGTACCTCCGCGCCCGCCTTGTCTTAATCAAGTGGGCCTTTTATGGGCAACACCAGGAGTCCCAAGAGATAGCCCTGCTCCTGGAGCGAAGTGCAGGTGGAGTTGGCCACTTAGGAACCAGCAGCAGGTGGGAGGTGGGTGGGTGAAGGGGAGTCTTACAGTCTCTCCAGGACCTCTCCAAAGACTCCAGTTTGCGCTGGCGGGTGTACTGACTGTCAGACTGTTCCTTCAAAGGGGGGATCCTAAGGAAGAAGGCTGCAATAAAAAAAAAATACATGCAGGGGAGACTCTGGTCTCTCTGCTGGCGAGGTAGAACAAGGGGAGGGAAAGGAGCTTGATGGAAAAGAGAGTATTCTGTGTGTGAGCGAGAGTGTAGCTGTGTGTGCATGCCTCTGCGGGAGGGAGGCAGGGAGGGAGGGAGGGGGGGAAGGGGACTGTGGATGAAGAAAGGATTTCTCTCTCTCAGAGCTCAGTTAAACCTGCTGTCACTTGGTGTTAAGGGAGCAACCGAAGCATTCGATTCCCAGAGAAAGAGTGGCACAGCAACATAGGAGGGTAAAGAGGGAACCAAAGAGAGGGGGGGGAAAAGAGAGAAGAAAAAGAAGGAAGCAAGCAAGCAAGGAAGCAAGGAAGAAACCAGAAAGGGGGGGGAAATACCAAAAATCTATGCTTGGACCTGGGCTTCTCTCTCGCCAATGCAAAAGGGAATATGCAGCACATTTTTGCCTTCTTCTGCACCAGTTTCCTAGGGGCAGCGTTGGGGGTCAATTTCCCCAGCAACATCCAGATCGGTGAGTGTGAAAAACGACGGCATCTTGGTGGCATCTTCCCGCGGGGAAGCGATGTTGCTGCGTGTACGAGAATGGGAGGGAGAGCGAGATACAACCCACCCCTCGACTTCGCTCGCGAGGGGGCCTCTGCGTGGACTATAACCGCGCTCAGGGGGGTGAGGAGACCCCCATACTGGACTTTGGGGGGGGGAGGGTACCTGCCTTTCAAGTGCTTCTAAAAGCATCCCCTCTTTTTGTTCCCTCTCTCTCTCTCTCTCTCTCTCACACACACACACACACACACACACACATTCTCTCCTGCATGTGGGACTCGGTACTTCAAGAATCGGGTACACTTCGCAATCTCTTCTCCCGCTCGGGGTGGGGGTGGGGAGGCGGAGGTTTTTCGGGGTCCGTAGAGGGGGTGAACCGCCGACGGACGTCGAGTTTGGCGTTGCTCTTTGTTATGGCTGCTAAACAAAAGCGGGGCAACGTCGCCAGGAAGCTGTTGCGGCGACCTGCAGTCGCTTTCCCTCGCCTGCCCACTCGAGATCTCGTCCCCTCCCTCGGACAAAATCCGGCGCCGGGCTGGCTTCTCTGCCTCGCGCCTTTGCCCCAGCGCTTTTATGGCAGTTTTCCCTCCATTCCCCAGGATGGAAAGTGGGGGGGGGGGGTATCGCGCCTCCCACGTTGCTTTCGCGTCTGGCTAAGAAACAAAAGGTGAAGCTGAAAAATGAGCAGGCTTCCTTGGCAACAACGCCGAAGTGGGCTTCGGGTTGATCTATTTATTTCGCCGGGCTCACACAATCCGGTTTCTTTGCACGCTGCTGAGTCTGTCCGGCCACCCTCTCTGGTATCCCCTCTTTCCTCCCCGCCCCTGGTGGACTTGGTGCACTTGATGCTTCGGACTTCTTAGCTTCAATTCCACCTGCGGTTCCCGCTACCGGTCGCCGTTTTTCGGTCGTTTGGTTTTAATTCGAGCCAACCATTCACGCTGGGCCATCTAACAGAGTCGAGTCCAACAGATTACAAAACAGTGCGTTCCCGAAGACAATTGGCCGAACCGAAATATTTGGGCTAATGGAATAATTGCTTGGACCCATTGGGACACTTCATAATTGCTTACAGCCCGAATCTCTTGTTCCTATGAGCAAGGATTCAATGAACAGCAGGCCTCTGGAGACCAGGGACTTGGGTGGTCTTCTTGTGACTTCCTTAGGATAAATAATATCCCATATATATAGGAGAACATGACAATTGGGGGCTCTCTTAAACTTGGCCGTTCTCTTCTCATTGTCCAAAAACAGGAGTTGCTCGAATGATGGCAAGATATGTCCTTTGTTTATTCTTTTAGTTTAGCAACAACCTGTTGAAGAAACATCTGCTCAGCGTGGGCAAATCCACGCTTGGTTGAGGGGAGGGAATTGGCTCAGTTTCCACGTTTAGAGTATTGCTAAATCCCGGTTTTCTGCAGCTTCGATCTTCGTTTATAAACCTAATTGGGGGGGATCTCGTATCTTTGGGGTTATGTAATAATCGGATGAAATGGAACATTGTACCAAAAGCTTCTACCAAAATTCTACCGTTCATCTTCAAGACTCCCTGAGGCTTGGATATGGACTTAATATGGACTTAATATGGATATGGACTTAATAACATTTGACTTAATGTTATTAAGTCAAATGGATATGGACTTAACAACATTTAAAAAGGACCTTTTGAAATTGAGGACAAGTAGATTGATTATGCCTAATTAAACCCCCTCCTCCCAATGGTTTTGGGGGACTCCATTCTATGATTTTTATTGTTTGTTTGTTCTTTGGCTACAAGAGATTAACATGGCTTCCTTTTTGCCAAAGTGTTTGGAGAAATTTTGGCCACTGTCTTTTGATACCCATTAAGTGTAACCGCTGCAGTTGTAGAATACCTTTGTCACTTAATGTTCGATTTCTGACTTAATGTCCATTTCTTTATTTTTTTCCCCTTCTTTTTTTACCTTAGGGGGATTATTTCCTACTCAACAATCCCAGGAACATGCAGCCTTTATGTTTGCATTATCTCAGTTCACAGAGCCCCCCAAGCTGGCTCCACAGATTGATATTGTGAATATTAGTGACAGTTTTGAAATGACCTACACCTGTAAGTAAAGGCCAACCTTTTGCTCTCTTGACTGCTTTTGCACCTATCTGTCTGCTTATGTTTGCATTAAAACCTCCTAGCAAGGATTTTTTTTAACGATAGGTCCTTTTTTCCTTCCCTTTTTAAAAATCATTTCAAAAATTATGTTTTTTTATTCTTACAACTGGTTTTCATCAATTCTCCCTTACAATGTAATTTACAGCTATTGATTTGTAATTGTCTAAATATATGTGAAAATGACAAGAGGTGCAATTATGTAAGTATTATTTATAGGTATACCATATTTTAAAAATACCCAACAGTCACCTAAGAACATAAAAGCCACCAATGGAAGTTTGATGATAGGTCTGAACTGAAGCAGACATACTTCGATCTTGAGCAGTTTAAATATTCCTGAGACCAAAAATGACTATTAAAGCTATTTTGAATCAATGTAGGGAAGATTTTTTTTAGTGTATCAGTAAAATGGAAATCAGTGTTATTTAGATTTTGTTTATTATATATTTTTTATCCCGTCTTTATTTATAAGTAACTGAAGGTGGCGAATATATATATATATAACACTACTTCCTCCTCCTGTTTTGCCCTCAAGAAGAGGGGCTGGCCCAAAGTCATCCATTTGCATAAAGCTAGACTAGAACTCAACAGTGTCCTGATTTCTAGGCCAGCACTTTAATCACTACACTTTACTGACTGTTATGTGTTATATGTTGTCAGTCAGGACAATCAAAATCTAAAATCTCTACTACTTGGGTTTAAAGGCTGTGTGATTGTGGTATGTTGACTACCTTGAGTTGCTTATAAAGTAATAAAAGTTGGATAAAAAATATAATTTATTAGATAATCTAATAATATTGTTTTGCTCAGAAAAACGGATTGATATGATAGTATAAGGATTCTTTGAATTATTTCTCTGTTCTGTGTTGCATGAATCAGAGACTCAAATTTTAATTGAAGAGGTCATTTTCATCTTATTTTGGAGCTCACCTGTTGATCCTTTCAATGGTCTAAAATCAAATGTCCTCAGTATTTTTTTTTTAATGAGGCTTAGACTGTTGAATTAATAATCCCTAGCCTCTCATCTTTCAGTGGTTATATATTTCTTTGTATGAGTCTTTTGTTAATAAGGAACAATGTTTGCTTATGCAGATGAAAGAAATTTATTTGCAACTTCTTGTGTGTTGTTGTTACAGTTATTTTCAAGTGGTGGATTTAGATCATATTTAAAATAGAGAGTAAAATAGAAAAAAAGACTGTGACATGAAGGTGAGAAATGAACCAGAACTGTTGACCTTGCTCTAACACATTAGTTTAATGGATAAAAAAAATTAAGGGAGTGATTTATCATATAAGGAAAGTCAAATGAATGCCATGAAAACTAGATGTATTTTAATGGGACAATGTTGATGGAATAGCTGGTAAAAGATTGAAGCATTAAACACCAATATATTTGTATATGTTGTTAGACAAGTGTCTCAGAATAAATGAGACAGCTTTATATTTATTCAATTGTTTAATTTCTGGATTTAATTAATATTGATATGTTTGGGTTCACGTGTATTATCAGTTATAGGGGGTGGGATTAATATATAATCAGTTGTAGGGGTTGGGGTTAATGTATAATTAATAAATTTGGCTTAATGTTTCAGGTCCCTAGTTGAGGCTAGATTATCAATAGAGAACTGAGATTGTGTCCCAGTGGTAAACTGTAAGCAAACTATTTTCTTCTCTCTCAATCTTAAAGAAACAATAACTCTGACCAGCTTTATATTAGAGCTCAGTTTTATGTAGAACATTTTGTCCTAGATGACCCATGAAAGGTAGTCCGCACCACCCCGTGGCACTGACTCTCATTTTTCCCTCTTAAATTAAAAGCTTCCATCATTTTGTTCTCTGTGGGTTATCAGCAATTGTTGTTTTTCACAAACATGAAGACTACAGTTTGGCTTTACCAATTCAGCTTGAAAACCATATCAGGGTAGGTCTTCATTGGCCTGATACTCGTATAGATCCATGTCCTATAAGCATTGACAACAATAGGGAATATATTGTAATTCCTTTTAAGCAGTGTTTATACAAACTCTATTTTCTTTGGATAAATGTTTCATTTCAGAATGTAACTGTGAAAGAAAGGTGAAAGAAAGCATTGTCGTCATGGAAATGTTTCACGTGTCTTGATTCGAGAGTTGTTGTTGGTTCTGTTGCTATTATTTTTTTGGTTGTTGCTCTTGTGGGCATTATTTATCACCGGATGTTTTTATAATGGTGGTTTTGTCTAGTCATAAAGTGTTTGAGTCTTTTATCGAAAATTGAAATGGAATTGAGCTTAAGGGCAAGCATGAGCCTGGGATTCTATATTTGTGGATTATTAAGATTGCTTATGGGGCTGCCCTACCAGCGTTTGCAAAAGACACTCACAATAATGGTGTGGGAAGAGAGTTATTAACCTTTTATCCACTTGTCATTTCTCCTGCAAATCCAAAATATATTATTTTCCAAGCTCACAAGTCTAGGAGAACAGTTGTGGAGGACAACCTTACTTGAGCATTTGCAGAAGACATTCATCTGGAATAAGAGGATCATGCATCTGTCTATTCAATTCTGGCTTCCACAAAGTCCTCCTTGGACCTGCAGTTGTGGGATTCAGATCACCCATTTTGGAGGATAACCTTTGAAAGTAATTATGCTGCAATCTTATGCAAAGATTTGGTCTTGCACAAATCATGAATCCTTTCATGATGTTAGCTGCTAAAGCACATAAAGTTGTAAATAAGGACTGGAGAATTTAAAGTTGTCACGGTGACCTACAGTCTAAAATAAAAAGAGTTTTCTAGTCTTTCCAAAGTGCAATGAAGCTAAGTTATAGTGTGCCTTATGAAAGGATTTGAATGTGTGAGCTTTATGCCGAAATGTAGTTATTTTGTGTGGAATAGTACAGTAAAAAAAGAGAAAACTCTGTATACCTATAGCGGTGGGTTAATCTGCAATATATCGTATTCACATGTCGAGACCTATTATATCTCAAGTTCTTTCAATGTATTTTGCTTAAAAATGGAGTATTATTAATTATTTTGATAAAAACAACCAGTCTTAATTTTTGGTTGATCTGTGCCACCTAATACAATAAACACAACTAATTCCAAACTGGAGAGGATCATGTTAGGTATTTCTTACCAGCTAGTGATAATGATGAGGACCTTGTCAAGGGAAAAAAGTGTCAGCATCACAAACACACTAATCGAGGTTCCTAACAGCTTAGCACTGAATACTTTTTACTAGATGGAAGAATCTTCCACTCATATCTTTTCCCTATATTTAGAATGTAAAGAAGTGGATAGATTTTGGTATATTCCAACCAAATTCAACCGATTTTTCACCATCGCTGTTAAAACTGTTTGTGTGTGTGTATAAACAAACAAACATGGATTGCTCAGTAATAGCAGACAGAATTGGGAATGACATATAGCAGAACAATTGTGTGTAGGCAGAACCAGAAATAGTGATAGATTATTGCACTGTTGCCATGCCACCATTGTTAGCGAAATAAAGCAATAACAGTAAGTGCGTATAAATCGTAGCTATTTATGCAATAACACTGACTATTACTTCATAGTAAATGAGCCTGGCATCCATTATAATTGATTGCAGGCATTTATCTCTCTTTTATTTTGAAAGAAGATGATTACAAGTCATATGCTATTCTGTGGCTGAAATAGCTAGTGTTTTCAGATATTACAGATTTATCCCACAAAAATATAACTTCCAGCAGTATAGTATGTACAGGAAGGAAGACATGCAAGTTACAGTAAGATTTATTTGACGGGAAAATAGATGAGAGAATCATTTTTGTTTTTTTAAGTCTAGAAATACTAGGAACTCGGCATGGGAAATTACATTGCACAGTTTCCCAGTCTTTACATAGAAGATGCCTAAGCAAATAAATATAGCAGTCATAATAGAAGGGCCACTATCCGAAATGATAAATGAAATGGATTATGGGAAAAGCTTCTTATATGAAAAATGGGACTGAGCAAAAATGTAGGGACAAAATGAGTTAGGACTACTTTGCAAGTTGCAAGAATATCAAACATTAATTTTGTCTATAAGCTACACATGAAGTATGGGATCTAGCCATTCATTCCGGTAATGCTGTCCCATTGATTATCAAACTTAATCATCTGGATCTGTGCATAAGATCAGCCTTGTTGGAACAAGCCTTTATGGGGAAAAAGACTCAACTGGGCATTTTTTCCAAGCAGTCCAAGACAGTGACACAGATTGGCTGACTTGCTGGCTCTTAATGAACAATGAGGAAGAAGAGAAATGGCAATGTATAAATTGGGATTCAAAATGGAAGTGTTCCATACTGCAGCATTTTGTTAGAATTTCCATCGGGAAGCGTGGGTTTGCAAGCAATTTTCTGCATTGGGCAGGATTTGCATTGTAAGTATGGATGCCATCCTGTGCATGAAGTTGTCCTGTAAATGTTATACAATACAGTATTGCACAGTATGGTTCGTTCACGATACTATGTAACAATATTTAATATCTTTGTGCATTCATTACTTAGCATTTTTCTGCTTTTTAGTATTTTAGGATCTCTAGTCTACCCAAAGAATATCACTTTTCAAATCAGAGTAATTGTAATAGAAGTAGTAATAGTAATAGCATGATTAATTAAGCTTTCTTACTATGGAACAATTCCAGTGATGGAGAAACATACATTTGTGAGTGTAGCTCTTCTCACAAGATACAAAGTTCTATGTCGCTACTGTAGAGTACTGTAGCAATGAATGAAATGTACTCCCAAATACTTTGTGTGCAAATTAGAGATCAATACTCTTTGTATGTATATACTGAATTCTTCAGAGCAACTGCAATCATTTCTCAGAAATATGCTTATAAAATTCCGACCATTTTTGATGTCCTATAACTGCAGGTGTTCTAGAAGACTATAAAAGCATGTGAAAAAAAAGGCATTTCTGTTATTGTTCCCTGAA